TTCCCAACTCCTCTTCCCCACCTCCAAAGTTCTAAAGTTCGTTTTCAACATAGCATCTTGTACATCTCATTGTTGCAATGGATCAATCTGTATCCTTGTTTCAGTATTTTGTTATTTCCCTTTCCTTCCCCAAATTAGAAAAATGTATATACAAAATGGACGGCACTGGAATCAATGTATTACCTACTTTTGCCTTGGCACCTTAAAAAAACAGCCAGGCAACTGAGGAGGCAGCTGGCTTCTGCCAAGCTGGCAAATGACCTTGATTATTATGCGAGACACATCACACTCTTACTAGTGCCACAGATTAGAGGTGGGCCGTAACATCTTTCTGTAATACACTAATTGAGTCCTTCCTTGCATGGAATTTACATTATCTGTAGATAAATCCCATAGCATGACAGTTTAATGAATATTTGAACAAAGTCCAAAGGACAATGAGAACCATCAATGTTGTAGGAATCATATTTTTAAGACAAAGAAGGCCCAGTGCCAACCACAGGTTCATTTAAAACAATCCCTTTTCCTAAAGACACATGAGGATTGAAAGGAACAACCAAATACGGCTCACTGGAGCTCACCTTCCTGTTGTTCACTCCACTTTTGGGTTTTTCTGTGGTATAGACTTTGTGCCATCAAGTGGAGCTCAGGAGGGCTCCTGATGGCTCATTCTGAGTAATGAGGGTGATTGGTATTTCACTTCATGCTTTTACTAATTGAGAGTGGTATTTTCAGTCTGCAAAGCACCTAAAGGGCTTTTCTTAAGACCCTTATAGTGTCTCTGTTCCAGTTGGGCTCCAGGGTAAGGACCATCAGTCTTTCACCCTGACAGCTCCTGTCCTGAGGGAGAAAGGATGCCCTTCCACACCTGCCCTCTCCTCCTTTCTCCAAGTCAGCTGCTTGTGATACAATAGAAAATGGTCATTTGTTCTTCCTGGCTGATATTTTCAACTTTTTCCCCCTTTTTCTGGGGCTTGAAATCAGGGCCGAGGTGCTGTCCCTAAGCTTTTTTTGCTCAAAGGTAGTGTTCTACCACTTGAGCCATAGTTCTACTTCCAGCTTTTTTTGTAGTCAGTTGGAGATAAGAGTCTCATGTCCAGGCTGGCTTGGAACCAGGATCCTCGGGTCTCAGCCTCATGAGTAGCTAGGATTACAGGTATGAGCCATTAGCACCCAGCTATCTTCACTTCTTAAGCACTGGTTTTAGCTCTGTCTGAGTTGGACATTAGAAACTTGGAACTTGTTCTCTTTGTTGAAAGACCCAAATTAGAGGAGAAAATATGTGGCTAGAACTCTTTAGAAAAGGTTTCTTGGGATGAACAGATAGCTCCATCTCGTCTGTCCTCTGTGCTTCTTTCTAACCTCCCCTACCAGGAGTTGTGTTTGTCCTGTCAACAAATCTGCCCTTTCTTCTGGCCCTTCACCTCATCTAGGGAAGGGGGAATCAGTCTGACACATTGCAGCGGGTGCATAAAGGCACCCAGTAAAAGTACAAGAGAATGAACAAAAGGTAAATGAAGATATTATTAGGCCTTTGGGAAATGCAAATTAAAATCATGATGAGCTCTCTCTAGACAACTACTGAAAGGACTAGTTTTTACACTGGCAAAAACTGACAGGAAGAAAATACAGCATCTAGACGCTCATAGATGACATATACAGCCACTATGGGAGACAGTTGGGCAGTTTATTTGTTGGTTGTGGTTGTTGGTTTGTTTTGCTGGTACTGGAACTTGGCCTCTGAGTCTGGATTTCTCTCTCAGCTTCGTTGCTCACAGCTGGCACCCCACCATTTGAGCCACCCCTCTAGTTTCCAGTTTGGCAGTTGCTTATAAAGCAACTTTTCATATGATCTAATTAACCTACATCAAAATATTTACACAGAGCACATCAACCTGTATGTAATGTTTTAGCTGCTCTATTTATAATCACCCTAAACTGGAAACATTCCCTGCAGTGAGCTGATATATCAACTCTGATACACTACGCAGTGGGATAGTACACAGCAACGAAAATGAACAAACCACTGATAAATGCATCCTTTTTGTGTGTCAGCAATGTAATCTCAAATGTGTTTTGCTACATAGTCCATTCATATGGCATTGTAGCAAAGACAAAACTACAGGGTCTAAAATGTGGATGATCAGAAAAGAAAAAAAACTACAGGGTCAGAGAAGAGATGGGTGGTTGCAAAGGATCCTGCATAGAGGAAGAATTCACTCCAAAAAGAGAGCAGCAGTGAATGTTCTGACCTGATAGAACTGTCCTCTGTCCTGATTGTGTAGTGGTGGCATAGCTACAAATTTGTCCAGTCCATAGAACTACGTTCCTAAAAGGAGAAATACTTTCTCTGTATCTAAGTTAGAATTTTAATTTGAAAAAGTCAAGTAAGGTTATTTTTCTGCTGTGTGGATTCAGGAACAAAAGAAAGGAATGGAAAAAGAAAAGAGAAAAGAAGCAAAGATAACCTGAGTCCCAATAGTCTTGGTACCCTGCAGTGATTGTGCACATACTTGCAAATGCACACACAGAGTTTTTGTGTGTGTTCATTAAGCAAACATTTAAAGAGCTGCTCTTCTGGGCCAGGGCTTTCTTAGGTCACTGGAGAGATACGTGAGAATTCATGGCTCCCACTTTCTTGGTGGAGAGAGACAGATAAGAAACATGTAAACAGGGCTGGGAAGGTGGCTCAGTGGTAGAGTGCTTGCCTTGCATGCATGAGGCCCTGGGTTTGATTCCTCAGCACCCCATAAACAAAAAGAAAAAAAAAAGAAACATGTAAACAAATAAATAAATGTTAGTTAAATAATGGTAAGTATTGTCTAGGCAATAAGACAAGCCTAAGTAATAGGGTGGAATTCAGTGTGGGCCTCACTGAGGAGATGACTTGAAACCAAGTGTTAGAGGTGTTAAGAAAACAGCTGTCATGTAAATATTCAGGTAGAGCATTCCAGGCAGGGAAATAGCAAATGGAGAAGACTCCTCGGGGACCCCACTAAGGATGAAATATACCCAAAACAAAGTAAAATCCCTTACTTCACAACTCAAAAAGGCTATCTGAAATGCAAGCATCCTTTCAAATGAATGTCTGTGCTTCTAGGGGATTTTTAGAAAAGCATGGTCCAGGAATGGGATTATGTTCTACATTCAGAAAAACCAAAAGAGGTTGATGGACTGGACCACAGGAACTGTAGGACCAGCTGGTAAAGATGAGCTTAGATAGGTGGACAGGGATCGGCTCATGTAGTCTTATCATAGTGTATGATTCCACGTGTATTGGGAAGCTTTCCCTCATTGACTTTCTTTGTATGTGTGTGCTGGTCTAGGGCTTGAACACAGGGCCTAGGCACTGTCCTTGAGCTTTTTTGCTCAAGGTAAGTAATCTACCACTTGAGCCACAGCTCTATTTCCAGTTTTGTTTTGTTTTGTTTTGTTGGTGGTTCTTTGAAGATAAGAATCTCACAGACTATCCTACCACAGATCTCAGCCTCCTAAATAGCTAGGATTACAGGTATGAGCCACAGTCACCTGGCCTTTCATTAACATTTTTAAAGGCTGCTGTAAGAAAGGAAATTCATGGAATAATTAATTTAGCATTTCTCATATTATCCATATATTAAGCTCTCATAAAAATATTAATGGATGATTAATATAGTATGTCATTGCTATCTATATCTGGTCAACAACTCAATGAGGGAATGGACACTCACATAGGGCCATATAGATGCATGGTTCTGTCTTGATTCTGGTATGACTCCAGTTATGTGGCCTTGAGGAAGTTGATGTCACGTCAAGAATCTCAAGAGGCTCCTGAGCAAACAGTAAATAATTGCATGGCTCTCCTGGGGATGGGTTGTACACTACCTGACTTTTGCTCACAGAAAGCTTTGTAAATGCCAAGCTTTGCTACAAATTAAATTTCTTCCTCATGTGTCATTATCTATCCTCATTTTTTAAGCTGGCTTTGATACTGTTTCTCCTTAAGAACCATGATGGAATTTTGCTTTCAAATATTTCATAGTCATTCTAAACTCTGGCTAGCTTTTTTGTTCTTGAAGAGATTTATGTTTGTACCCCATTGCGGTTGTTTTTATTTGTTCTAACAAAATTTGTGTTTTTATTCTATGTAGCAATTTAAATTTTCTCTTATAAAATTTAAAATTTCTTCAATCTATTTATTAGATGGTATGTAACAACATAGATAAAACTGCCAATTCCTGATAACTGTACTGGTTGGGTGGTAGACAAGAAACCAGTGACAATATTGAGGAGAGTTTAATATCTGGCAGTGTGGTTTAGTGATAGAGTGTCTGCCTAGCAAGCACAAGGTCCTTAGTTCAAATCTCAGTACTACCAGAAAAAAAGAGTTTAATAAGAGACTATTCACAACAATGAAGGACCTGTTAAGAGAAACCAACAATGAATCAGTGACCTTAGATCTTCTTTACCTCCAAGGACCACAGAGGAAAGAGTGGCTAAAACTGTCCAGGAGCTAGGGTCAAAAACAAATCCAGGAGCTGCCAAAGCCAGCCAAGGGAAAGGGAAAATGAAGCCAGGGAAGTCACAACCAACCCCTTCTCCATCCTATTCTTGCTGGCTTTCCTCTATTGAGTCCAACAAGGAGCCAAGTAGGTGGTATAGTCTCAGAGGGCCATTTCCTGGCACACAGCAAGGTGAAAGATGGTAGAGAGTGATCTATGAGAGCCAGCAGAAGAGGCCTAGCATGGTGACCTACGGAAAATATATTCTCCAAAAGATGATATTGGCCTTCTGAGATGTGGCTGTACATAACCCTACATGCACTCTGTCCTTAGACCCTAACCCCTTCCTCACAAGAGCCTCCCTCACCAGCTCTGTGATAGGGGCCATAAGTAATTGCTGTGGCTCGTTCCTTGGGATGGAACAAGTTGTCTTGTACATCTTTGGTGAGACCCTTAGAGTGCCTTTGCCAGCTGCTTTCTGACAGAGCTCTCCTTCGCTCTCCTGTGCTCCTTCTCCAGGGTGGAGCTTCAGCATGGGCTCGGCTTACCAGTTTCACAGCTGGCGTGTCTTTGTCATCGTGTGCGCACTTCCCTGTGTCTCCTCCGTGGTGGCCCTCACATTCATGCCAGAGAGCCCTCGGTTCTTGCTGGAGGTAATGCTGATTATTACAAATACACAGGTAGCATTCTTACATTACAGTGGAAAGAGTCCTTGATCATTTAAATTTGACTCTTTGGGAGGTATATATTCCTTCCTATTATGGGAGCTGTACAGAGCTTGGCTTCTTAGAAAGGCATGCTTTAAACAACCTGCATGTGCAAAAAGCTGCTTTGTAACCAGAAAACGATCATGCTCATCCTTAAAAGCAAATAACTTGTTCAATGAAGAGACCGTAGACTTACAGATTCTCGGATGCTACTTTCTAATTAGTTACAGGCACAATCTTTGAACTGCGAATGCATTCACTGATATCCAAATAGTCTGTATGTTTCCAGTGGGACATATCTAAGCACAGTGGCACAGGATGCTTGCTGGGAAATAATAGAGTACATTATATTTGACTCCTAGCCCATCACTATGTGTACATTTCTTAGGTTGGAAAACACGACGAAGCCTGGATGATTCTGAAGTTAATTCATGACACCAACATGAGAGCTCGGGGACAGCCTGAGAAAGTCTTCACGGTGAGTCTGCCCCGCAGAGAACATGTTTTCTGTCCATTACCAGACTACACATCTTCTCAGCTCTTCAAGTTCTACAGTCTTTGTCATAATTACTCAGCCCTGCCATTTCAGTGCAAAACCAATCATAGACATTACATAAGCAAACAGATGTTAAGTTCCAATAAAACTTTATTTACACAGACAAGCAAAGGGATGATTTGAGCCCATTGGTTGCCAACCCCTGTGCCTGTCTAGAACTTCAGAATTCTGTTGCTGATTCAATGATAACACCAACCTGAGAGATTGGATTGGGGTGGGAAAACTCATCTCAGACTTATTTTGACTCCAGACTCAGCAGACAGGGGGCTTTGATTACAGGGACAGGTTTTCCTTACTTGCTATTAGAGGAGATCCTCTACTCCATCTCCTCTACTCTCCCAGGCCACTGCTACCCCACTGATACTTGTTTCCACATTCTTCTCATCCACGTTCAGAGTACCCCATGGTCTCTGAGGAAAGCCAAGTGTATCTGGGGTCAAACCTGAATGAGTTACTTGCTTGCTTTGTGACTTACACAAGTAGCATCTAGTCCTGAGCTTCAATTTCCTTGTCTCCAAAGTAATTATAATAATGCCTAATTGATAGATTTTTTTGAAAGGGTGGTATGAAATATTGTATGTAAATCATTTAGCATTATATCTGGCACATAACAGCAAATATTAAAATATATTCATAAACATGTTTGTATATACATGTGGGTGGAGCAGTCAGAATACAAAGATAGTTTATGAGGAGACAGGAAATAAAAAAATTCTTAAAAGGTTAGAAGTCTTAGAATAAGAATAGGTACATTAGTTTATCAAATGAATAAAAATAGCATTTTAAAAAAAGACAAAAATGGTCTCCCTGGGTCAAAAGCTAAGATCAGCAATATATATTTTACATGAGATACACTAAGAATTTAGCCTCATTACTGAGAATCTGGGTCTCCAGGCTCCTGGTGAAGTGACCATCCACCGATTCAAAGGCACACATTCATAACAGCCCCATAGTTCTTTTCTAAGATGTCAGAAATTGTTCATCATAATTCTTTGGTCTTAACAGGGGTTACTACACTAAGTAAATCAAGCTTTGGTGGCTCACGCCTGTAATCCTTGCTACTAAGGAGGTTGAAACCTTTTATGGTGGTGGTGGTGGTGGTTGCAGGGCTTAAACTCAGGGCCTAGGCACTGTCCCTGAACTTTTTCATTCAAAGCTCACGGTCTACCACTTTGAGCCACAGCACCACTTCCCAAGGTTGAGATCTTAAGATCACAGTTTAAAGCCAGCATGGGCAGGAAAGTCCAAAAGACTCTTATCTCCAATTAACCCCTGCTCCCCCCCACACACACACACAAAAGCAGAAGTGGAGCTGTGGCTCAAATAGTAGAGTGCTAGCCTTGAGCAAAAACTCTCAAGACAGTACCCAGACCTTAAATCCAAGCCCCAGGACCAACACACACACATACACACACACACACACACACAAGATACTTAGTCAAATCATAAAATTATTTACTAAAACTTTTCTTAATAAACAAGTGGGAAAACAGACTAGAAGATCAAAGAAATGTAACTAAACATAAAACAAATCTCTGTGTTTCTTGACAGCCAAGGCAAAAGTCAAATTTAGTGGATTATAGTGATTTTGATATAAAGTAAATGCCAGTGGATCCAATTTTTCAGGAACAGTAGACTTTAATTCTAATGTGTGAAATGTTTATTCATTGGCCTGTAAGGGATAAGTATAAATGATGAACAGCATAAATATACATTGAACAGTATAAGCAATGTTCTCTTCAATAACATTTTTCTGTACAGATGAGTATTTTCTTTTTCTTTTTTTTTTTTTTTTGTTGGTCATGGGACATGAACTCTGGGCCTGGGCGCTGTCCCTCAGCTCTACAGCTCAAGGCTAGTGCTCTACCACTTGAGCCACAGCGCCACTTCTGTCTTTTTCTGCCTATGTGGTACTGAGGAATGGAACCCAGGGCCTCATGCATGCAAGGCAAGCACTCTACCACTGAGCCACCTTCCCAGCCCCAGATGAGTATTTTCTATGTGGCCATTTATTAAATAAATATTTAATCTGAATTTGGTAAAGGAAGGCAGCCAAGCGAACCAGAAAGGAAACCCAAATGCATGACTTTGACTTGATGAGGTTTAATATGAACATAAGGCACAAAAGAATCAGAGACTTATTTTCAAAATGTATCTCTATTACCTTACATGCATGTGCAGGGGCACACATGATATAAGACACGTTATAGTTTCCCATTCTACCAGCGGCACACTGCTTTAAGGATAAAGATAGAAATCTTCATTCTGGGGTTGGGAAAGTAGCTCAGTGGTAGAGCGCTTGCCTTGCATGCATGAGGCCCTGGATTCCATTCCTCAGCACCACATAAGCAGAAAAATAAAAAGCCGGAAGTGGCACTGTGGCTCAAGTGGTAGAGTGCTAGCCTTGAGCTGAAGAGCTGAGGGACAGCACCCAGGCCCAGAGTTCAGGCCCCACGACCGGACCCCCCCCAAAAAAAAATCTTCATTCTGGCCCCAAAGACCTACCAATCCGTCTCTGACTACCTGGGGATCCTTTCTACAAATATACTTGTCTTAAAATTCCTCAGACCTAACCCTCAGCCTGGCCTGACCTCTACTATTCCCTCTGCCTGGACTGTCCTTCCATCTTCTAGTTATAGTTTATTCTCCATGGAAAAGCCAGTCAACTTAATAAAATAGGAGGCATGGGATTTGGGGAAGGAATGAGTGTTTTAAAGCTTTTGACATATGCAGTCATATGTTCTTGTCTAAAAATGTTCTTGTCTAACATGCGCTAAACCATAAGGAGAAATCTAAGATTTTCAGTGGCTTATATATCCTTACAGTTGTTAAACCTTGGAAATGTTGACTGGGCGTATGTATAGCTCAGGCAGCCGAGTGCCTGCCTAGAAGTCCTGAGTTCAAATGCCAATAGTGAAAAACAAAACAAACACCACAAAACCTGTGATCCTAACTACTTAGGAGACTGAGATCAAGAGGATCAGTTTGAGGCCACCCTGGACAAAACGACCCCATATTAAACAGTAAAAAGCTGGACATGGGGGCTGGGAAAGTGGCTCAGTGTTAGAGCGCTTGCCTTGCATGCCTGAGGCCCTGGGTTCGATTCCTCAGCACCACATAAGCAAAAAGAAAAAAGCCGGAAGTGGCACTGTGGCTCAAGTTGTAGAGCGCTAGCCTTGAGCTGAAGAGCTGAGGGACAGCACCCAGGCCCAGAGTTCAGGCCCCACGACCGGACCCCAAAAAAAAAAAAAAAAAAAAAGCTGGACATGTGCCTATTATACCAGCTACAGTGGAAATAGGAGGAATGCAATCCAGGCCAGCTTGAGCAAAAAGGAAGATCCTACTCAAAAATAAGTGGGCTGAAAAAGTCTACTTTTCCATGGAGGCATGGCTCAGGCATTATATCCTGCCTAGCAAGTATAGAGCCCTGAGTTCAAACCCTAGTACAGAAAACAAAACAAAAACATGAACCATCCTGTGAAATGATCCCTGACTACGAAGACCCCTCCATGCTATCTCATTTCATTTTTGTTTATAAAAGGCATTTTTAAGATGGGCTGTAGTCTGACCTGATGATTGAACCTTGGTACATTTTGTTCATTTTGGAAGATGATCAGCTCTGTGAATATCCAGTCTCAATACCTGTATTTCACAATAAAATTCCCATTTAGGATGTTGGCAGACTCTCTAGAAAAATCTACTCAAATCCCAGATGGGGTAATATGTTTATCTGAACTTGTCCATGATTCTCAGACTTGCCAAAAACAGGTCAAGGATGGTTAACACGAAAGGCAAGCCACCACTAAGTGCTTCCCCTTTGCCCTTTTCTGGATTCTTTTGGTTGGGAGCATTGCTCTCTTCCTTAGTAAAAGGAGGCTTTCATAGCCAGAGGTGTGCTTACACATTGAACCTCTCTCCTTTGTTTCATGGATGTGACTGAGCGGCTAGCATTGAAATTTGCAAAAGAAACTCACCTACTTCTTGCCATATGGCCCCCACACCTGTCGGGGTGTGCCTGCCAGCACTGAGTTAGGCTGGAGGAAAAGGAGGGAAGGGCAAGGGGGTACTGTGGCATACAAATTAGATGGGAAAGCACTGTAAGAACAATGGTTATGGGATCAAATTCATCAAATAAGTACGCTCCTCCACAACAAATATATTGCATGCAGCTGTTTTAATCCAAGAAATACAGTGCTGAATTCAGAAGCTGATCTATGCTCATGTTGACCTGGTAATGTGGGTCTTTGTAGTAATGAGTCAGAGACCATTTGGGGTTTCTATCATTTCACTACAAGTTTTCCCCACTTCCCTATTTCCTGTTACTCATTCTTACTGGGTTCCTTTAGGTGCTGATTGCATAGACTTATGTCAATTGTCTCATGTATATAGATGGAATGATTACAAATATCCCTCATTTTTTTTTATTGGACTTAGTTTTTGCCTACTCAGATTGTGAGCCTAAATTGAGGAACCTCAGAGAAGAGACCTCAGCCCTTGGCACTCTGTTCTTTCTGCAGGTGAACAAAATCAAAACCCCTAAGCAAATAGATGAGCTGATTGAAATTGAGAGTGACACTGGAACATGGTACAGGAGGTGTTTCGTTCGGATCCGCACAGAACTGTATGGAGTAAGTTTGAGTTCTGCCCCAACACATATGTCAACTTCTTGCACTTGGAAATGGTCAGGAGAGAGGTTGACTGTACCTGTCTCATCAATAGTACCTCCCCTCCGTGAGGTTACCTGACTCCCAGACTAGGACCAGGCTGGTAGATCCCTTTAGAATCAGACCCATTTGGGGGATGTGTCAGGCCAGGGTTGGGGCAGTGACATCTTGCCTTGAAGACTTGTTGCCTCCAAGAAGCTGCAAAGCAGAAATTCCAGTGTTTGTGATTCCTTGTGGCATTCAGATACATTTTATGTATTTATTTACTTATTTTGCTGGTCGTGGGGCCTGAACTCTGGGCCTGGGCACTGTCCCTCAGCTCTTCAGCTCAAGGTTAGCATTCTACCACTTGAGCCACAACGCCACTTCTGGCTTTTTCTGCTTCTGTGGTGCTGAGGAATGGAACCCAGGGCCTCATGCATGCACGACAAGCACTCTACCACTGAGCCACCTTCCCAGACTACTTTCAGCTACATTTTAAGTTAAAATGAATTCAGCCCAACAAAACCTCAGCTTTTTATAATTTGGTGGGAGGGGTATGTGAAGAGGGGTTGTCTCTAAAACTGCATAAGAAAACTAACTCTCTAATATTCCACAGATCTGGTTGACTTTTATGAGATGTTTCAACTACCCAGTCAGGGAAAATACAATAAAGCTAACAATTGTGTGGTTCACTCTGTCCTTTGGGTAAGTGATATTTAAATTCTTAGCAAATAAAATGTGTTAAATGTCACAAATTCACTCCCCGTCATGCTTTCTTCTTACACTACCTGCTAGGGAAGAATGTTTGGTTTGGTTTCTGCTTAGATCTATACAGTTATGGCTTTATAAATAAATTGTGTTATTTTTAATCTAGTCCTAAAACCATGTTGATAAACCAGTAGTACTAGAGAAGTCTGATAAGGCCCAGTGGCTGTCCACCAACCTCTCCTCTGCTCAGCCCTTTTACGCCAGTCTATTTGCTTTGAATTTGTCAGGAGTCTTTATCTCAGGCTTTTGCCCACCCTCCAATAGGGACACTTCTACCCACCTCATTCCCTCACCTCCTTTAGTTCCTACTAGGTGACATCTTCTCCACAACTCTGTTCCTAAGCACACATGCACCTTTCTTCCGTCCTTCCTTCCCTCCTTCCTTCCTTCCCTCCGTCCTTCCTTCCTTTCCTCCTTCCTTCCTTCCTTGCTTGCTTCCTTCCTTCTTAACTACCTTCCTCTCATTGTAACCCCTCTATATTCCTTATTCTCTTATCAGTGTTATTATCCCCTATGACACTTCTTTTAGGCAAACTCTTCTTTTTTTAATCTTATTTTTTATTGTGAAAATACTGTACAGAGGGGTTACAATTACATGGGCAAGATAACGAGTACATTTCTTATCCAGCATTGTAGCCTCCTCCTTTGTTTCCCCTTCCCATCCCTTCCCAGCCTCCCCTCCCCCACCCAATCCTCCCTGCCCGCCCCCATCAAAGTTGTAAAGTTCGTTTTCGACATAACGACTTGTACTTCTCATTGCTGCAATGGGTCCACCTGTATCCTTATTTAAACGACTTGTTTTTCCCCTTCCCCTCCACAAATTATACCGACATCAAATACAGTGAAAGCAGGGGTTATACTGTGGGGGAAGGACATACAAAGCAACAAAGAAATAATCTTATAAATGCGTTAGAAACAATCGCATGAAAGAAAAAAACATTTGAATACATATCTTAGGGTTCATTTTCCTAACATCACCTTATCTGACCTTTTCTGCTTGACTCAGACATATACTAGATATTGCAAATAAGGGAAAACATGGGACCTATGTTTCTTTGGGCTTGGCTTACTTCACTTAATATAATTTTTTCCAAGCCTTTCCATTTCCTAACAAACGGGGCAATGTCATTCTTTCTGATGGAGGCATAGAATTCCATTGTATGTATGTATGTATGTATGTGTGTGTATATATATATATATATATATATATATATATATATATACCACATTTTCTTGATCCATTCATCTACTGAGGGGCACACCTTGGTTGGTTCCATATCTTAGCTATAGTAAATAATGCTGCAATAAACGTAGTTGTGCTGGTAGCTCTAGTGTGGTCTTGTTTGTAAACATTTGGGTAAATGCCCAAAAGTGGGATTTCTGGGTCACAGGGGAGCTCTATGTCTTTTGAGGAACCTCCATACTACTTTCCAAAGTGGCTGAACAAGTTTACACTCCAACCAACAATGCAGTAAGGTTCCCTTCTGGCCACATCCCCTCCAGCATCTGTTGTTATTAGAGTTCTTGATTTTTGCCATTCTAACTGGGGTGAGGTGGTATCTTAATGCTGTTTTGATCTGCATTTCTTTTATGGCTAGAGAGGTTGAGCATTTCTTCATGTGTCTATTGGCCATCCTTCTTTCCTCTTCAGAGAAGTTTCTCTTTAAGTCTTTAGCCCACTTATTTATTGGGCAGTTGTTTCTCTGAGGATTTGTTGTTGGGGGATTTAACTTTTTGAGTTCCAAGTATATTTTAGATATATACTTGGAACTTGTCCGTTGTATGGCTAGTGAAGATCTTCTCCCAATCCGTGGGCTTTCTATTGATCTTGCTAGCTATGTCCTTTGCCATGCAGAAGCTCTGCAACTTCATGCAATTCCATTTGTGTCGCTACCGCCTCGACCACCAAGGAAGACGCGACACCGAACTCTTCTCTCTGCAGTTTATTCAGGACCTTTGAGTAATCTTCTGACCCCAACCCCAGGGAAAATTCCCCACAGCCTTAAGTACCCGCTGGGTAGCCAACCCTGATACGCCACGTGGGATACACCAATAGGCTCAGGTGCGCGGAAGCAAGCCAGATTCTTTGCCTTAGCCATATAAGGAGTTGTTTACCACAGAGAGCACTCGCCATCGGGAAGGCGGAGGGTGGAAGCCGGCGCCATCTTCCAGGTGCGGCCTCTCGCAGCTCTCTACACATTTGTCCAACCTTTCTTTGATTTGTTGTGTTTCTGGGTCTCTATTAAGAAAATTTCGGCCTGCACCAAGGAGACCTAGGTTTTCTCCTATTCCATCCTGTAATGTTTTCAGAGTGTCTGCTTTGACTCCAAGGTGTTTGATCCATTTGGAGTTGATTCTGGTGCAGGGTGATATATAAGGATCTAGCTTTAGTTTTCTACAAATAGTTAACCAATTTTAGGTAAACTCTTCTTTACTCTGCATATAAATATAAAGCTCTGACTTCCTGCTTTGGAAGATTAATGAGATTTGGAGTCTTAAAAGATAGATAGATGATAGATAGATAGATAGATAGACAGACAGACAGACATTTCTGACCTACAACAGGAGCTCAATAAATAGGTACTGACAAATGAATAATACAACCTTAGAACTATTGTAAGAACAAGGAAATAAGGAAGGAGGGGAGGGGAAAATGAGGTTTAGTTGCTAACACTTGAAATCTTCACTTTAGAATGAGTATGTCTGCTGCTTCAGAAAAAAAGCAATGAGATGATGCACTATTAGGACAGAAGGATCTTTGGGCATCATAGCATCTAATTGTGACATCATAATTTCCATGTCTTAATTGATATAAATTAAGATAGGCAAGTTACCAAAGTGCTGGATGAGGTGTGGCATGGGAGCAGGGCCTGTAGGGAGAAGCAGGATATTAGAAGTTCATGCTGATGTGTTACTTGGCCTGCATTCATAAGTTGAGAGAGTTGGTTTAGAATATTCAAAGTCATTCTAATCTAGTTTCTAAAAATATTCATTACTCTTGAAGGGAAAAAGCACTAAAAAGTGATTTACATTAGGTGCCTACTGTGTTAAGAGGGAGTTAGGTACAAAGAAGACAAAATAAGTCCAAGGGAAGTCTCATGCTGAAGGTGTGAAGGGATCCTGGAGAGTCATTCTGGGTCACATTCATTGCTGATCAGATTTTCAATTTTATGTCTTCTATATCCCTGATACCTCAGTGGTGCCTAACATTTAAGAGACAGTCAGCAGACTTTTGCTGCGTAAGTAAAGTACTAGCTAAACCTCCTCCACGTCCTTGATGTAGGTTCCAGGGTAATGTCTTTCCCTGGTTGTTGCCAATTTTAAGTTTTCGTGACATCCACAGTGCATCCTTGAGTCATTTGTTAATGGTACCACCGCCACCACTGTAACTGACTCACAGTCTATGAGAGTAGGGGCCGAGGCACAGCTGGTTGAGGAATGCTGATGAAAAGGACATGAAATGATAGAAATGACTCATGCTGTCTTTTGAGCCCCTCAGTGTCATGGGCACTTCACATACCATTCAATATGGCAACCGTACAGGGGAGCTGGAGTCTACCATTATCCCACTATTAAGAGGTGTGGGAAACTAAAGCTTAGCTAACTGGTCAAAGTGAAAAGTAGCAAGACTAAGATTTGAACCCCGCAAAAACCCCTCCTTCCTGTACAGCAAAGTGTCACTGAGGATAAAAACTAGAGCCAGGTTTCCCAAACTAGATACATCTGAACACTCCCCTGGGCCCTCCTCTTCCAGAGTGTCTGTTTATCAAGTCAGAAGAGAGCCAAGTTCAGGGGTACTGATCCGAGGGCTCTACTTTGGGAACTATCACATTAAAGCATTATTGTCCAATAGAAATATAATCTGAGTCACAGACGTCATTTTAAGTGTTCCAGTAACCACACACATGCATACACAAACACACAAAGGTTAGAAGAAACATAAAATTAATTTTATTCAACTCATTGTCCTCAAGTAGTATTATTCTAACACATAATTGGTATGAAAATTATGAATGAATAATTTTACATCTTGTTTACATTAGCCTTCAAGATCTCCTGGTATTTCATGCTCATAGAATGTCTCACATTGGCTAGCACAGTGTCACTGCCTCAGGGTCACTCTAGAAATGACCTGGATTTTCAGATAGTTACTGAATATTCCAAGTTGGAAAATGGGGCTCTGCTCCAGGTTAACAGTTTCACAATAATGAAGGAACCAGGAAAGATCATCCATTCGCAAGAGAGGTCATTCCATAAAGGCTCGGCGTTCCTGGGTCCCAGGAGTTTGGACCACTAATCTAGGAAATTGTTTCTCAATCTGCCTGTGATAAGAATGACATTAGGATGTCATGTGTCTTAGAGTCCGTTTGCGCTGCCATAACAAAACACCTCTGATCAGGTAAGTTATCCATATTAGGCATTCATTACTCAACATTTCCAGAGCGAGACTTGGAACCCCAAAATCAAGGTACTAGGATGTTTGGTGATGCTGAGGGCTTGGGCTCTGCTTCCACGTCCTCTGGGGGTATGAACTCTATGTCCTCACAGGATAGGAAGAAAACGAGGAAGAAGGGAGAAGGAGACAGCTCCTCTGATACTAGGTTTGAACTCAGGGCCTCACCTTTGCGCAGCTTATTTGCTCAATTCATACTCTACCACTTGAGTCATGCCTCCAGCCCAGCTTTTTTTCTGATTATTTTGGAGATAGAGTCTCACAAACTTTTCTGCTCAGGCTGGCTCCAAATCTCAGTCCTCCGGATCTCACCCTCATGAGTAGCTAGGATTACAGCTGTGAGCCTACCTTCTACACATGTATTTTTTTTCTGTATATACTTTTATTGTAAAAATACTATACAGAGGGGTTATAGTTACATGAGCAAGGTAACAAGTACATTTCCTATCGAGCATTGTTACCTCCTCCTCTGTTTTCCCCTACCATCCCTTCCCTCCCCATATCCCCAACTCTTCCCTCTCCGCACCCCCCCAAGTTGTAAAGTTCATTTCCAACATAGTGTCTTGTACATCTCATTGTTACAATAGGTCAATCTGTATCCTCATTTCAGCATTTTGTTATTTCCCTTCCCCTCCCCAAATTAGAAAAAAATGTATATACAAGAAGCAGGGCACCAGAAGCAAATACAGTGAAAACAAGGGTTATACCATGGGGGAAGAACATACAAAAGAAACAAAAAAATCACATTGTACATTATAAATTCATTAAAAACAATAGCAAGAAAGATAAAACCATGTGTGTCCCTATCTTGGGGTTCATTTTGCTTAGCACCATCTTATATGGTCATATGTACATAGCTATTGACCTTTTCTGCTTGTCCTAGACATACCAGGCATAGGTCCTATGGTTTCCCTTATTTGCAATAACATATATTATTCTTTTTTTTTTTTTTGTCGGCCGTGGGGCTTGAACTCTGGGCCTGGGCACTGTCCCTCAGCTCTTCAGCTCAAGGCAAACGCTCTACCACTTGAGCTACAGCGCCACTTCCGGTTTTCTGGTTGTTTATTGGAGATAGGAGTCTCACGGTCTCTCCTGCCCAGGCTGGCTTTGAACCGCAATCCTCAGATCTCAGCCTCCTGAGTAGCTAGGATTACAGGCGTGAGCCACCAGCGCCCGGCTATGCATATATTATTCTTTATTAAACCTTTTCATGAATGCCCTATTTCTTAATATAACATATTAGGATCTAAGACTCAATTTGGAAGGTCATATTCAGATCATAGAACTGTGTGTGTGTATATACAGAAGGGGGTTCTTTCTGAACCCCTTTTCTTTGTAAAGAAAGGGCTCAAGAATTACACACTGGAGTTTTCCAGCTAACTCCAACCTACCTCTTGAGCTTAATTTTTGTAGATTAATCTTGGGTCGGGGGTTCAACAATCATAGTGTAATGGTTTATTCAACGGTTACAAGGAGTCGTTCATAACTGGAATTGCTTCTCTAGTATCCACTACCCATCTGAAATGCTAGGAAGTATGTGCCAGAACCTTCATAAACTCACATTTTGTTGTCTTTGCAGGTACTATGGATTATCTGTGTGGTTCCCCGACGTCATTAAACATCTGCAGTCTGATGAATATGCACTGCTAACTAGAAATGTGCAAAGGGATAAATATGCAAATTTCAGTATTAACTTCACAATGGAAAATCAAATTCATACTGGAATGGAATACGACAATGGCAGGTCTAGAATCTTTGAACTAATTTAAATTGTTACCAAATCACACAAAGCTGATTGCTTACTAAGATTCAGTGCCCTGAAACCTACAGTTGTGCTTTTGCTTTAGTGTGTACATCTAGTCATTTTCAGGTTGAATTTCGATATTCCTAACTGGGCTTTAAATCTACTCACCCACATCAGTTACTTCACTTAAACTTCTAAAACTGAGTTGTTTTACATTTATTAAGCTGGCCTTTGACTGGTGTGAAAAAAATGTAGCATCCTCAAGAGCAATAAGAGTAACTTAAGGGTTGGGGGCGTGGCTTGAGCGGTAGAGCACCTGACTAGCAAGTGCAAGAGTCCCTGTGTTCAAATCCCAGTAACTGCAAATAAAAAATAAGACACTGAAAAGTAAAGAAAATAAGACGCAAAGTGGAGTTATTTAATTTAGAGAAGAAACCTGAAACCCAGCCAAAGGAAAGGACATTCAGGCACAAAGAGCTTAGAAAATCCAGCAGTCAACATATCTTTAAACTTGTCATATCTTTAAACTTGTTTGACTTAGCCGTGAACTCCACTGACATGAATGTGTGTGTGTGTGTGTGTGTGTGTGTGTGTGTGTGTGTGTGTGTGTGTGCATGTCGAACAGATTCCTAGGAGTAAAGTTCAAGTCCGTAACTTTCAAAGACTCCGTGTTTAAGTCCTGCACCTTTGAGGATGTGACCTCAGTCAACACCTACTTCAAGAACTGCACCTTTATCGACACCATTTTCGACAACACGGGTAGGTGTGGGCTTCGCATGGCTCCTGTTGGGGCCTTTGCAGAGGGCTTTTCTCCTGGCAGAAATGTGATAACCCCGTGACAGTGTGGCCAAATGTCTAGACTGAAGCGTAAATGAACAAGTTTCCTGCTGAGGCGGAATCAAAGGTCTGCTTGTATTGGTTTGCCTTGCCCAGCTTCAAAATTGGTTTAAAAAAATCTTTGTGGGTAATTTTTAAAGCAAAGATTTCTTTAATAATCCAAGTCTCAAAATCTGGTGTACCTCTAAGTCAACAACATGTGGCTATTTAATGGGACATTAAGTATAATGTTTTAGCTCACTCCATATATATCTGGGAAGCTCCCTAAAGAAGTAAAGGAAGAGAACAGAGCATCAATTTAACACCATGATATGCTAGCTCACACCATGGGTCATCAGATACTTCTTATCTCTTATAGTTTACCCAATAGTTGAGGTTTAAAACATTAAGAAATTTAGCCAGGTGTCAGTGGCTTGCTCCTGTCATCCTTGCTACTCAGGAGGCTGAGATCTGAGGATCAATATTCAAAGCCAGCCCAAACAGGAAAGTCTGTCAGACTCTCATGTCCAATAAATACCGTAATTTTTTTTGGGGGGGGGTCTGGTCGTGGGCCTTGAACTCTGTGCCTGGGCACTGTCCCTCAGCTCTTCAGTTCAAGGCTAGCGCTCTACCACTTGAGCCACAGTGCCACTTCCGGCTTTTTTCTTTTTGTTTATGTGGTGGTGAGGAATCGAACCCAAGGCCTCATGCATGCAAGACAAGCGCTCTACCACTGAGCCACCTTCCCAGCCCTGGACTGTAATTTTTTTTAAGCTAACAGTAGAACTGTGGCTCAAGTGGCAGATGCTAGTTTTGAGCAAAGAAACTCAGGGACACCGCCAGGCCCTGAGTTCAGTCTAATGCTAGCATACACACACACACACACACACACACACACACACACACACACACACAAATGAGGCTAGAATGCCAGCTTTCTGCTGGCAGGGAGATCTGTGTCTGCTCTGCCTTTTTGATGTGTACACAGGAGCCAGCTCTTAGTACTACAAGAGAAAGCCAGCAGGTGTCTTCACTTTTGTAAACAGGGTCACTGATCACCCTCTTCTAACCCACCTGACCTCAGAAGACCAGCATTTCATTATTTTATTTTTCTGATAGACCATGATAACAAAAAAGATGCAAGTCCTCTTAGGTAGACCCAAATTTAACCCAATTTAAACAACACACTGAATGCTAGTGAAGCTGACTCTTGTCCCTCCGTGGATTCCGCCACATGGACCTGAAATTGCAGCCTCAAAAACCCAAGAACAGTCCCATAAAATGACCATCCATGGCCAATTCATTAACATGTGTGCATGTGTACACACACACACACACACACACACACTTAAAACAAGGAGTAAGCAAGTAATCTAATTAATAATGGCCAACTACAGAAAGTCAGAAGATAATTGGAATCTTTAGTCTAATTGATTCCCTTATTCATTAAAGATGCCCCACCATTATACCTCTTTTTATATACAGTATCAAGCTAGACCCCATTCAGGGCCAGGAGAGGATACAAAGTGTCAAGCCAGCCTAGGCCCTAAGGTGCTCAAAGAATTTCTAGTACCATGAGGCTTTATGAAATTCTCCACAGGGTTTCTGATACAGGTGCTCACCTATTACTTCTACCTGGCAAGAGTTCAATGAGTTGTCTTTGCTGTTTCTACAGATTTTGAGCCATATAAATTCATTGACAGTGAATTTCACAACTGCTCGTTTTTTCACAATAAGACCGGATGTCAGATTACCTTTGATGACGACTACAGTGCCTACTGGATTTATTTTGTCAACTTCCTGGGGACACTGGCCGTGTTGCCGGGAAACATTGTGTCCGCTCTCCTGATGGACAGAATTGGGCGTTTAACCATGCTAGGTAGGTACTGGGGTTCTAGGAAGGATGTGAGTGGTGCCTGTCTCTTTCTGGGCTCTCTGTCCCTTAAAGATTTGCAGTTCGGGAGGAGAAACCCTTACCTCTTTCATTAGGATACATCTCTAATGAAAACGATGTCTAATTACATTTCATTTGAGCAATTGCCATGAGTTAACGGACTGAAAAACTAATTAGGTGTAACTAATGTATATTTTTCCACTCAAGTTGTTGGTTAATGGGTGCTATGTATTTCATACTTGCTGCCTTCAGAAGTCAGTGAGAGGGTTGACCTTTCAAACAGGTGAATGTACTTGGACTTGAGATTTATGGAGCCCAGTCAGCAGCTTCTCCATGGGATTGTTTTCCAGAGCGATCTCAGTAACTCAAAGGTCCTTGCTTGCCGAGATGACAGGCGACACTCAGCCTTCTGTCTGTGTTGTTGGCAGGTGGCTCTATGGTGCTTTCAGGGATCAGCTGCTTCTTCCTTTGGTTTGGCACCAGCGAATCTATGATGATAGGCATGCTCTGCCTGTACAATGGATTGACGATCTCAGCCTGGAACTCTCTCGATGTAGTTACTGTGGAGTTGTACCCCACAGACCGGAGGTATGTTGAAATGAGCCTCTAGGAGAAAGGGGTTCCAAGACACTGGCAAATTGTGACAAAGTGAGCCCAGCTGCTGCTTCCCCCAAGAAAGTAGAAACAAAAAAAAATCAGAAAAGCCATTAGCTCATGCAATTGTAGGTTCTACTTATATCTCTTAAAAGGAAACTAATTCCTAGCAATAATTAATAAAGTAGTGAAGGCGCTGAAGAAATTTACTTGTCTCCATGAAGTAATTTGTTGGCTAATGATAAGAAGGAGTTGTAATCTTTTGGTGAACATTAGTAAAAAAAAAAAAATTTGTGCTGGTCCTAGGGCTTGATCTCAAGGCCTAGGTGCTGTCCGTGAGCTTTTTGGCTCAAGGCTAGTGCTTTACCACTTGAACTACAACTCCACTTCTGGCTTGTCAGTAGTTAGAGATAAGTCTCCTGGACTTCTTGTTGGGGTTGGCTTTGAAACATGGTCCTCCTATCTCGGTCTCCTGAGTAGCTAGGATTACAGGTGTGAGCCACTGGCACCTGGCTGAAGATTAGCATTTAATAACCTACCTTGGCCCACATGTTGTGGGGCTTTCTAGTCCTAGGAGGGTTATTACCTCCCACTTGCAGGTTTCTGCTTGAGCTCTGAGTTTAACAGATGAGTGCCTAGAATATGTCTTTTGACTTTCCTGGTCTATTGGAGGAAAGCCCAACACATTCCAGATAGCTGGAGGAAATTTACTCATCCAGTACTAAAATGAAGTCACAACTAGTTTATAATTCCTATCAGCAAAGGCCTATAATGTAGGGCTTTGGGCTAGAGCTTTGCAGCTGAATAGTTAAAAGCTGAACTGATGCTCTGTTTCACCATTTGACATGGGCTTTTTACCACTTCCTACCTTGTATTTCATGCCCAAGTCTTAAGCTCTGTCTCTGTGGAAGCCTCTTATTGGGGTATTTTGCAGAATTTGGAATATAGAGCAGGAGAGGTTTTCCCTCCTGTAGAATACTGACTTGTTGAATCCCCAGTGCTGGCCCTGTTCCTTTGGTTTATTGGCCACATTCAGGAGCATTTTTTCCTGAGTTTACAAGAACCCTTGCTGTAGAATACCGCCACACTCACAAATCCCAGGTGTCTCCTTGCTAAACATTTTCATTCTGACCCTAGTGAGCTTCTATGCTGTACACAGGCTCTGGAAACCATCTGAGTAACATTAGTTGTAACACAGTAGAGCTCATGATAAAGCTACATAGAGATGCCAGAGGGAAGGAGAATTGTAATTGCACATTGTAATTGCCCATGGCCCTGAACTCACATTCAAGCTGACACCTGATCCTGACACAGGCCCAGCTTTGATACTGAGGCACTCACTAGGCTGGTTGAACCTGAAAGTCAGAAATAAGTGGCCCCAACTATAAGGATCAGAGAGCCACAGAGGCCCTCAAGTGGCCTGTGCACCTATTTATTTGGAGACAGTCAGTCACCTGTCCCTCTTTTCCACTCTCATGGGTTGGTGACCACATGCCAAGTGTTGCCTTAATGGAGTCCTAGGATAGCTCAAGTCAAAGCAAAGGTCCATCTGGGAAGAATACCAAGGAAGACAAGTGAAGACTGTGTAAAAAGGCTGAGGACGTGCCTCAAGTGGTTGAACATTTGTCTGGCAAGCATAAGGCACTGGGTTCAATTCCCAGTACTGCAAAAAGAAAGAAAAAAGAGTAATGATAGGTTGAATTAAACTTAGTCACCATTAACTATCCTTCCCCCCTCCTCCCCCCTCCCTCCTCCCCCCCACCCCGTGGGGCTTGAACTCTGGACCTGGGCACTGTCCCTCAGCTCAAGGCGAGCGCTCTACCACTTGAGTCACAGTGCCACTTCCAGTTTCCTGGTGGTTTATTGGAGATAAGAGTCTCATGGACTTACCTGCCTGGGCTGGCTTTGAACCACAGTCCTCAGATCTCAGCCTCCTAAGTAGCTAGGATTACAGGCATGAGCCACAGGTTCCTGGCAACTATGTCCATTTTTCACCTCCCTTCTTTTCCCTTACCCCATTGTGGTCAAACTCCTAAACTTCTCCAAAGTCAGAAATGAAGCCTCTGTGGTGTAGGCCACATGATTGGCTCATCAGGGTTGAGGCTTGCTATCCATCATCTAGGCAGTGGCTCTCTGCTGCCACCATGTGACCATGATGCAGTTTCACTGCACACGCTTCCTGTGCCTTCCAGTCTGGGGACTTGTCTTCACCTCCATGTAGCTTATTTTAGGCAAGAGACAGTAATGCCCCCAGCCTCCCACTGAGGCCTCCAATGCTGAGCAGTCAAAACCAGAAGGCCATCTCCTGGGTGTCTTTCTTTGGACAATGTGATCCTGCTTTCCCAGGCCACTGGCTGCTTTCTCCCCTCACTCTCCTGTGTGTACCCTTCAGACATAAGGATTTTAAAATAAAACCCCAAAGGTTTCTATGCAGTGCTCCCTTCGAACCTGCCATCTGCCACGGTCACCCAGAACTCTGGGATTTGCTAACAGCAAACCTCAGCTCGGATTTAGTCCCCCTCAGGACAGCTCCTGTGTAGACAAGGAAGGGCTCTCAGTTTCTCCCCAGTAGCCCTGTAATCACCACTCTCTTGCTGCCCAGCTGTGTGTCTGTCCAGGGAAAGGCTCAGCACAGCTGTGCCTCTGTTCTCTCAGATGAAAAAGGAGGAACTTGAAATAAATGGCCTCTCAGGTCTTCCCTTATACTTCTAGAATTCTCCTTGTTACCATCATTATCTGGTGTTCTATAGTGAAATTTCTTTCATTCTTTCTTAAATACATTCTCCCCCTGTGGTCATAAAGCAAGATAATCACTTAGTTTTTGGAGATAATGTTATAAAGAAATCTTTCAATTACCCTTACTAACTAATCTATGTACTTCATCATCTTACGTTGCTTTATTTTTTGCCTAATGCCATTTCATCAATTAGATGTTTACATTTAGGTGTTTGATTATGTATTGTGTATGTTTATATTTTTCTTTATATTTGATTTTTCTTCATTTTACCATTATATATGTTTACACACTGGTCATTCAACCAATGTCAGATTCACTTTGTCTCTGGAAGTTAGAAGTGGAAGGTCAGGCTGGGCACGGCACTACATACCTGTAGTCCAACGACTTGGAAGACTGAGGTGCACAGAAGTCTTGAGTCCAAGAGTTCAGAGCTAGCCTGGGAAACCTAGAGAGATTCTGTCTTAGGAAAAAAGAAGTGGAAGGTGAAGGGGTGGAGAGTGTATGTCCCCTATCCCCACAGCCTTGTTACTAGGTGTTGGATTACAATGGGAACAAAACCTGCCAAATAGACAAACAAGCACAGAGCAGTCATTTAGCCTGAGCTACGGGAAGTGACCTCATCATCCACAGGTACGAACCAGCCCTTGCAATAAAGCATCATGGAGACAGAGGCAGCAGGATCACCAGTCTTGGGGCCCCATCAGGCCACTGCCAAGTCCTCCCGAAGGAGGAGCTGCAGGTCTTGTGGGCTCTAGGATCTAGTCTGCACCGAGTACTGTATCACAGAGTTGAGGTTGCGGGGCTCAGGACATGGGTAGGGACAGCTTTCGATGCCGCACAAAGAACATCCTATGAACCCACTGCATGGCTGCATCCCCCTCATATCACTGATGAACAACCCTCTCCATGATCATGGAGAAGCCTTCTCATGCTGATCTCCAGAATGATAGCCAAAGACAAAATAGCCAATCCCAGCCTGTCCATTCCTGATTAACCTGCTGTGCATTCCAAGATAATATTTCTTAGGGACAATTTATCTAACACACTGTTTATACTGAAGTGCTTTTATCTCTCCTTTTATTAGTATACATGAATTGCATGAAGTTTTCACTGTACTATCTCCATACATATATATACATATCTTGACCAAATTCACCCCCTCTATTACTCTTGCTATGCTGAAGTACTCTTTTGTAATTTTTTATTGTTATTAGAAAGGTGATATGCAGAGGGATGTGGGTTTTTTTTTAATTTTTATGCTGATGAACTTTTCTTTTTTGGTTGGTCATGGGGTTTGAACTCTGGGCCTGGGCACTGTCTCTCAACTCTTCAGCTCAAGGCAAGCACTCTACCACTTGAGCCACAACGCCACTTCTAGTTTTCTGGTGATTTATTGGAGATAAGAGTCTCACGGACTTTCGTGCCTGGGCTGGCTTTGACCTGCTATCCTCAGATCTCAGCCTCCTGAGTAGGTAGGGTTACAGGTGCAAGCCACCAGCACTCAGCTTATGCTGAACTACTTTTAAGACAAATCACCACCCCACCATGTAATGTTAAGTTGGAGATCGCATCTGAGGCCAGCCCAGGCAAAAGCGTAAGACCCTGAATCTAAATCTGAAAAAAAAAAAAAAAAAGCAAAACTAAGAAACAAAAGCGCCTGCTCTGAGTCCAGCCCCCATCGCTGACAAGAAGCATCAACTCACCTGGTGACAGGATGCGCCGCTATGTGGCTGTGTTCACAGGCCTTGGCCTCAGATGAACTAGGAGTTGCTACTCAGTGCCAGCACTTGCTTGTCCTATAATTATGTATCTTGGCCCAGGCCCACATTTCCTAGCTAGGTTTACCCAATAAATCATAAAACACAAAGCCTTCCATTCTTACCCGTCTGCAAAGATTTGATTTCAACAGGAATGAGCAACAGGAAGCCCCTGGATGGTGGGAGTAGGAGGGAGATGGAGAGTTGCTTTGGGCCACGTCCTCTCTCAGCTCACAGCTCATGGGGAATTTCTTCTCTACGTGTGTGAGGGGGAGCAAGGCAGGGTTGGGGAGCCGAGTGACCGGGTTACCTCTCGTGAAGGAAGATGCTACCCACATGATTAAGGCAAATTTTCCCTATTTTTAAAGTTCAGAAAGCAATTGAATCCAGTCTACTCCTTAAGAATACATAATTAGTTATGATTATCTCTAAATAGTTGTTCAAAAGAGTTTCCACTCAACAGAATTAGTTCTTTTCCTCTCATCCAACTATTACCCGTTAAAATGCCAATTACAGCTGAGTGCTGGTGGCTCACATCTCTCAGGAGGCTGAGATATGAGGATCTCCATTCAAAGCCAGCCTGAGCCAGAAAGTTCATAAGATTCTTCAATTAAAGCCGGATGCCGGTGGCTCACGCCTGTAATCCTAGCTACTCAGGAGGCTGAGATCTGAGGATCACGATGCAAAGCCAGCCCGGGCAGGAAACTCCATGAGACTCTTATCTCCAATAAACCACTAGAAAACCAGAAGTGGTGCTGTGGCTCAAGTGGTAGAGCACTCGCCTTGAGCTGAAGAACACATGGACATTGCCCAAGCCCAGAGTTCAAGCCCCACGACCGACAAAAAAAAAAAAAAAAAAAAAAAGATTCTTCAATTAAGCACCAAAAAAGCTGAGGCTCAAGTAGAACAGCACTAGCCTTGAACAAAAAATGCTTGAGGACAGAAAACAAATGCCCATTACATTCTTTTTTAATTTTGCTGGTCCTGGGGCTTGAACTCAGGGCCTTGGCACTGTCCTTGAGCTTTTGTTCTCAAGGCTACCTCTCTATCATTATATAAGCCACAGCTCAATTTCCTAAAATACCCATGACAAAAGCCTATCTCCAACTTTTCTGGAAGACCTTAGGAAATTCTTGAGTTTACCTTGAGTGTAGCAGGCATCCCTGGGCTGGTCCTGGGAAAGGGAGCTCCAAGGACTGGAGCTACAACAAGGACTACTGAGCCCACTCCAGAATGGAACATGGAGCAAAACATGCCCATGCCAATCCTAGTGCCCATGAGCCTGTAGGGCGGGACTAGAGGAGGTGCATGGAGTAGAGGAGATGCTTCAGACAGGGGAGACATTTCCCTTGGCAAAAACAAACAACAACCATGAGCTAGGAAATGCACCCAAAGTGAGGGAACTGGATGAACGCAAGAGCAGGAAGGAGAAGAGGAAGGAGGGGATGGCTTGGGTGGGATCCGTTCCCTCTCTGCTCTTCCTGAATACAGCACACAATGCTGCCTGATCTTCTCTAGCAGAGAGCAGTTCTGTGTGTGAGAATCTACCTTTAACAGGTAGATTTCATGGGCTGAGCCTAGATCTTCTTTACTTCAAATCTTCTCAAAATGAAATGCACCACTTAATTTTTCCCTATTAATGTACCTATGGGTGAAGTAGCTATTCAGCCAGACTTTTCAAAAATGTTTGACACATGCCAGGCACCGCCCTGGGCACTTCGAGTATCCAGTATCCTTTTCGTCTCAATACTGTCAAAAACACTCACAGCTGGTTTGGCACTAAGACCAGGAAAAAAAAAAAAAAAAACAGAAAAGAAAGACATTAGATGAGTGAGGCCAGATATGATGGTGCACACCTGAAATCACAGCTACTCAGATTAGGAGCTAAGGCATAGGATTATGGTTCAAGGCTACCCTAAGTAAAAATGTTGATGAAATACTATCTCAACAAACAAGCTAGGGAAAGGTAGCTCATGACTGTAATTCCAGCTTTTCTGAAGACAGAAGAAGGAGGGTCACAGTCTAAAGCCAGCTCTGCACAAAAAGCAGTAAGATCTTATCTGAAAAAATAACTAGGAACAAAAAAATGTGGGCATGGCTCAAGTAGTGAAGCACTTTCCCTGCAAATGTGAGGCCGAGTTCAAAACCTACTACCTTCTCCAACCCCAAAAGAGAGGCTAGATGTGTGGACAACGCTTTTCTCAGTCCAGAATGGAGTCGGCAGTTCCCTTTTCCCAGCCTCCAATTAAAACATAAAACAATGTAAATAAACCATAACCCACTTAACCAGGCAGTCTCCTGAGAAGCTACCAGGTAGCCTCAATTTGTGGATACTACAGGGGCCAGGTGCCTACTCTAACCCCCCCTCCCCCCCCCCCTGCCCATTGGCTAAGTCTAAGTTCTGCCAAGGGAAGCTGCTTGGGAACTAAGGATTTGATGGACTCTTTAGAAGTACTCCTGATGAGCAACTGATTGAGTGTCCTGCCATCTTAGCCAGTTAGCCCTTCTCCAGTTCCCCTCTCAGTGACACAAGGAGAGAGCTACCCATGTCCCGTGCCCCGTTCCACACCACACCAGCAGGTCATCATCTGGGAAAGCATAGCTACTCTAATTCTACAGCATAGCCAATGCCACGTGGGTTATTCTGCAGTATCAGCATCAAGAGACTTCTTCAAGACAGCACAAGGTTTTCATTGTGCCTATCAGCAACACATACACGGCTGATTTCCCTAGCAGCACCCACTTTTGCCTTAACACCACAAGGTGTAGCTGATACTTTAGGAATCTAAAATCTAGAAACTAAAATGTACTTTAAAGCTGGGGCACTGGCTCACACTTCTTATCCTAGCTTCTTGGACAGCTAAGATCTGAGGGTCACAGTTCAAAGCCAGCCTGAGCAGCAAAGCCCACAAGACTCTTCTCTCCAACAGTTTAAAAAAAAGCCAGAAGTGGAAGTTTAGCTCAGATGGTAGAGCTCTAGCCTTGAGTGAAAGGCTAAGCAAGAACACGAGGCCTTGAGTTCAAGTCCTAGTACTGGCACAAAGAAAGAAAGAAAGAAGAAAGAAAGAAAGAAAGAAAGAAAGAAAGAAAGAAAGAAAGAAAGAAAGAAAGAAAGAAAGAAAGAAAGAAAGAAAGAAAGAAAGAAAGAAAGAAAGAAAGAAAGAAAGGCAGGCTAAGCAAGAACATGAGGCCTTGAGTTCAAGTCCTAGTACTGGCACAAAGAAAGAAAGAAAGAAGGAAAGTTAGTTTAAAATCAGTAAAACAAGCTTGTCTGAAAGGCCTACACGGTGTATGATTTCAAGTGAATGACATCCAACTGTGGAGATGAGAGACATGGAGCTGGTTGGGGTAGGAGAGGGGACGAAAGGTAGAGAACAGGCGATTGAATTTTATTGTCGTGTACAGAGGGTTTACAGATACAGAGAACAGGTAGGTTTTTTTTCAGGGCAGAGAAACATTCTACGTGGTTTTATAATGATGGCCATGTGTCATTGCATATTTGCCAAAGCCCAGAGAATATTCAGTATCAAGAGTGAACCCTAATATTAACAGCAAACTTCAGTTACTGATAATGCAATCACTCACCAATATTATAATTATAATAAATTCACCACATTCGTGCATAAAGAGAGGAAACCGGGACATCTGCTTAGATCCTAAGAAACCAGCCAGAAGCCATTTCAGCCTTGTAGCATCATCTCCATGGAGATGGGGGAGGCAGTTGGGTGCACTTTTGTACCCAACCTGCAGCTTCCAGCAGTTTTATTTGAAAATGCTTATCAGTATATTAAATCTCCTTATCTTTCTGGTGGTTATTTTCTTTTTTTATTATTTTATTGTAAAGATACTGGACAGAGGGTTACAGTTACATGAGTAAGGCAATGAGTACATTACTTGTTTGGTTATTTTCTAACAACAACAAAACAAAAACAAAAACAGGAGAATACAAAACTAGCTTGCCCTCTTCTCAAGAAAGCCCTTGTTCCGTTCCATCCAATATTCTACTTTCTCTATCCTCATTCCAAACCACCGCCTTCCCCAGACCACTTCCTCTGCTCCCTCAGTTTCTTAGCCAAAAAGAAAGTCTATTTTCTCCCCTCTATTAAGAGTATTTTACCCAGTGAGGTCATGGGCAGTACATTAATACAGGCACTGAGTCCCTGCAGCTCAGGGATATGCAGTGATTTCTCTCCAGTGGAGTGTGAAGAAGAAAATCAGCACAATTAATTTCTCAGGTTGTGAGGGACACATATCCAAGCAAGGATACATAGTTGCTATGACTTGCCAGAGGAAAAATCCAAACTTACTACTTCACAAATCTGAGGAAGGTACAGTTCTAAATGTTCCGTGCTGTAGCACAGAAGATGCATTTCCTTTTTGGTTAAAAAAGAAAAGAAAAGAAAAGGACCATAAACTTGCCTTGCCTTGAATGTACCTTTTATACTCAGTGAACCCCAGTGAGAACCCAAAAGAAGGACTAGCATCAAGACAGAAGAAAATTTGTATTTTCCTATGATGTCAGTGAGAGATCGCAATATGAACAAAATTTAGTTTCCTGCCCAGAAGGCCACAGTGAGTCCACTCAATACATTTACTTTGTTCTTTCCAAAGAATACCGTAAGAAATGGGATGAGGGCAGAGTGGGATGGTAGGGTAATCTCATTTACTCATGAGGCAGAAATCAGAAGGATCACAGTTCAAGGCCAACATGGGCAAAACATTAGATCACATCTTGCCAAAAATCTGGGGCTAGTAACTCAATGCTATAATTCTAGATAATCAGGAGCTGAGATCTGAGGATCAAGGTTCAAAGCTAGCCCAGACACACAAATCCAAGAAACTCTTATTCCAATTAACCATTTAAAAAGCTGGAAGTGATGGTGTGGCCCAAGTGGTAGAGAGCCAACCCTGAGCCGTAGGAAAAAAAAAAAAAACAACAACACACAAATGAAAGTACAAGGCCCTGAGTTCAAGCACAAAAAAAGAATAAATAAAGAACAATCAAGGAAACAAGGAAGTCAACAGAAGGCTGTACATCTTCCTAAAGGTTTGCTGATAAGCATCTCATATGTGCTCCAATGACATACAACACAATGCACTTGAAAATTACTCCACAGGTCATGTGCATGTAAAACTGGAATCTTGGGGATCTAAGACCTTGTTGAATGGTGCCCATCTTCCTTTCCCTTACAGAGCAACAGGCTTCGGCTTCTTGAATGCACTCTGCAAAGCAGCGGCCGTCCTGGGAAACTTAATATTTGGCTCCCTGGTCAGCATCACCAAAGCCATCCCCATCCTGCTGGCCTCTACTGTGCTGGTGTGTGGCGGACTCGTGGGACTGCGCCTGCCTGACACACGAACCCAGGTTCTGATGTGATGGAACAAAAGCCATTCCTCTGTGTGTGTCCCTCTCCTGCCCTGAGTCACCTCTGCTCACTGGCTCAAAGCTTCTGATTTTTTTTCCCATACATAGAAAGGTGTCCAAGTATCAGAACACTCTCTGTGTGTGTCTCTCTGTCTCTCTCTTTGTATCTCTCTGTCTCTCTCTCTCTGTCTCTTTCTGTGACTTAAAATGTGGATGCACATCATCTTTCCCCTCTTACGTGATTCGGTACTGGTTTTGTCGTTTTGTTCTCTCTGTGCATTGTTGTTTTTCCTAACTGTGCCGCTCCATCCTCCAGAACAGTCAGTAGGACTATCTCTGAAGTTGGCTGGGCTTCCCTGGAATTCTGCTTCTTGGAGATTAGAAGTTAGACAGTCAGTGCTAGTGTTCTTACAAACAAGAGCCTGCTCCTAAGACAACAGGAACAGAAAATGTAAGTGGGCATATTGCTGCATTTGTGCTGAGGAAAGAGATTTTTTTCTTTGGTCAAACAGAGTGATATTTCCTGTTTACTTAGAAAAGAACACCCAGCAATTCTCGATTTTATAGCAGGGCCTCTCAAAGAAAACCATGGGGTATATGCTGGGCTGGGTGGGGCTCTTTCAAGCAAGACTGGAGTTGACTGCTGACAGGAAGAACAAAGCCTCTGTCAGTTAGCAGGAAAAAAAAATGGGCAAGCTACAGAAGTGAGATTTCTGACAGAGAGCCCGGATATAAATTTCTGACAAATCTAAGAGAAAAGAATCGTCATATCTAGGAGTGAACGTGGCAGATGGTTCTGAATGCTTGACAGCCAACAAATCAGAGGGATCTTTTGCCTCCGTTTACCCCTCCCCCTCAGGCTATCATAGAACTTGCTAGAAAGTCTCTTCTTAAAAAAATTATACCTGCCTGCTTGATTCTACTATTCATAAGATATTCATGGAGATTGTGGGTGGACATCTAAATTGTCACTGAAGAAGAAAGTCACATCTAAAGCCATTTGGAAATGCAAATTGATTCTTGTTTCCTGAGAGGGCTTGTTGGTGAAGGTAGCATTCACCTCCCTGGCTCCCACCACCAAAGTAGGCCTGGTTCTCCATCATCCCTCAGGCTGTGGCTGCTTTGTTCCAAGTAGGATCCCAGCCTGCCTGCACTCCTAAGGCACTACCTGGCTTACAGTACACCTCTCTGGGTGGCCATGTGCCTGCTTGTTTTACCTCTGGATTCTGCCTGGGCTCAGAGGGAAGAGGTCAGCAGGACTCTCCCAAGGGCAAGGTGTCAGCCTCCAGGCCTCCACCCCGCCTCCAGCTTGTCCAATTTACATATCTTCTTTGAAATCTGAAGCCTCCTTGTAGATTAACAGCCCATGACTAGCAGCCAGGAACAAATCCTGGATTTCAACAATATTCCTTTTTAAACTGCTTATGTCTTTAGAGGGTGATCCTTGTTCCTTATGACAGGCCACAGTCGTGGGGTGTCCAGAAAAATAAGCAAACTTGTGTTTTGCTTTCCCCCCATCATTACACTCAGAGTTGCCCCAGCAGTTCCCTGGGCCCCCCACTTCTCCTCCTCCCCCTCCCTGCCAAGCCCATCTACCTCACCCCTACCGCCCATTCCCTATGTTCTTCCTGGAACTCAGATTCTGTGAAAAGCTCTTCCATTGACATATAAACTATTAATACACCTTTCCTCTCAAGTAGTTCAAGAGGCAGCCTGGTTTGGGGGAGCAGGGGTGGCAGGAAGAGGTTAGGTTTCTGGGGATACATATATGCTCCAAGCCAGAAAAATCAAATTGAAATCTACAAAGACAATGGGGTGGGGGGGAGGAAGCAATGAAGTCTAGACATGATTCCTTTGGAAGATACCACCAAAGAAACAACTTACCCTCACTTCTTCCTCCTGTCATGTTCCCAATGGGTTTAAACACTTCAAGAACATGCATGTTGTGTTGCTCTTTTTTCTATATGAGCTCATTTCCCTACCTATCTATTCCTTGATTTTTTTTCTTTAAAAATAACCTGAGCATGTTATTTGGTTGAATGTTGGCATGTACTGAATTATCGCCATCTACTCATCCAAAAGGGAAGTAGACGTTTGCATGGATGTCTCTAGGCTTTTGTGATAGCTGATTTTGCTTACTAGATTTTTCTTTCACGTTGAACATGTCTCTATTTATCTATCATAGGGTCTAAATGCATTATCTATCTCCCAGCTGCAAGGCATTGTTATTGACAATTTTTTTGAACGCTAAGTGGGGTTCATGTGGGATAAACCAGCCGAATCTTTCCTTCATGAGACCTTCCATGCTGTGTGTCTGTCACAAGAGCCACCTTCGCCTTCTGTCACCTCACCTGAACTCCCAGGTGGCCCAAGAGGGATCTCTTCTAATCTCCTGGACAGTCTGTGGTCACAAACCTTCTTGGTCACCACCTTTGCCATCTTTGTTCACTTTTCTCTGCCCCCTCACAGTGTGTGTTACTGTCTAGAAGAGGGCTCAAGTTGTTTGCCAAGCCTGTGATGAGACCTGCAGGGCTCATTCTGGTTTGCCTAGAGAGTAAGATACAACCCATGGAACAGAAACTCTGTTGTCTCAGTGATACCTGGATGGGCAACTACCATCTCCTTCCATCCATCGTAGAAGGCAAAGGGAAGCTGGTGCAAGTTGAGCCACAGCTGGGTGCCGGTAGCTCATGCCTGTAATCCTAGTTACTCAGGAGGCTGAGATCTGAGGATCCCAGTTCAAAGCCAGTCCGGGCAGGAAAGTCCGTGAAACTCTTATCTCCAATAAACCGCCAGAAAACTGGAAGTGGTGCTATAGCTCAAGTGGTAGAGCACTCGCCTTGAGCTGAAGAACTGAAGGACAGCGCTCAGGCCCAGAGTTCAAGCCCCACGACTGAAAAAAAAAAATGGAAGTCCCACTTGCTCGGATATTTCCAATTTCTTTTCTAACCCAACAGTTCCGCCGCTGCCCAATGGGATCAATCCAAGAATGTTTCTCTTATGACCACCACCCAAATCCTCTCCAAAAAAAAAAAAAACAGCCAAAGCATTGCCCCAAATTGTGACTTTAGTGCTGCCTGCTGTCCCAGGTATTGGGTCCTAAGTCTCCAGTTCACACTCAGTGCTACTGCCTGACTTGACTCACACCAGAGTACTGGCCTGGGAGGGAATGGAGGGGTGCTAACCCAAGTCCCAGCGGGTACCCCAGATCTTGCTAGCACATAAGTCATTGAACACCTCTGTTCCTCAGTTTCCCTGACTATATAAAGGATTGATACTAGTCTGCTCTCTAAGACCCTAGCTGATAATCTTGAACATAGCCTCATCTTAATCTGTCACTTTGTGATGCTAAAGCCATCTACACAAGAATCGCCTTAGCTTAAACACTGACTAATCAGGAAATAAGAACAAAGAGAACAAGAAGTTGGGAGAACCTTCTGGAATAGGCCAGAGTAGAGTTCTGTTGTTGTCTGTGCACGCAGCTTCTCAGCATTCTGAGCATGTCTCCGTTCAAATGCCAGCTGGACTGCTCTCATTGCCCATCCAGGGAATGGACCCTCCCTGGCAGATAGAACCATAGTTACAAGACTCTGACAACAGGGCTGTGGCAAAACTGGATCTTCTAGCAACCCTAATCGCCTGCTCCTTTGTCCTACAGTGTTTCAGTGATTTAACCTAAATAAGCAAATATACCATTTACAAACTCTCACCAAACCAGATTTCAGGTTTTCACCAAAACTCCTTTGTTGTTTTGAACACTATCTTAAGAGATCAAGGGGGCGGTGGGGAAGAAAATTAGTGACACAGAGAGACTCCGATATCACTGTGAAGGTTCCAGTAAAGAGACTAAAGCATCAAGGAGACGTTCTAAATTCTGGGAGTGTTTCCAGAACATTCCATGAGAATACTTTGGGATTTCTTCTGCCAACCAAAATAAAATATGATATCAGAAGGGCCTGTACCTATTTCTTCAAGAAAACACCTTACCTGTTCAAGCATAAATGTCTGAATGTCTGAATTTAGCCTTCACCTAGACTCATAGGACTCAACTGGCATATTGTTTTTCAAAGGCCTATTAGCTATATATGAAGTTTCTCTTATTGTGCCAAATTTAATCTAGTTACCAAACCTCCAAAAACATCAGTCATGTTGCAATAACAAAAAGAATTCTGTATAGTACTCTTGTAGCTTTTGGTCCTGCTGAGAAAAACATATGTTTTAGGTAAAGCTTGTCTTGTAATCTGTGTGGTATGGACAAAAGAAAATTGTCAGGCTCCCCTAAGTATATTTCATGTCCCTTTCCTTGTTTTAGGTGGTTGGCAGTCCTCCATGAATTGTTCTTTTGCTCTAGATGTTGGCCAGGAGGCTGTCCAACAATTTCACCAACTAGACACAAGTCATTGCCAGAGCTGACTTCTTTCCATTTTTCTCAACACCTAGACACTACTCAATATCAAGCCAGCATTTTGAGTGACCAGGATATAGCTCATGGTTCTATTTAGGATCTTAATTAAAGTTAGCAAGTCTGGATGGAAGTGAAAGCTAGACAGGATACAGCTGGTTATTTCATATGATTACTTGATAATTATTGTTTCAGCACCTCCCATGTGCCTGGTACTATGCTGTGTGCAGAGAACTAACCTGTAGACTCTACATGAGAGTAGGAAAATAAGAGAAAATAAAAGAGAAAACAATCTCCTATTGACCACATTATACTTTGAGCCTCCCCTGTCTCCTGCCATAATTACAAAGTGTTATTTTTCAAAGTTTCAAACAAGTAGAAGCCTGCAACATGTAGTTCAGGGACTGTGCTGTGTTGGAAGATGAGAGAGACTCTTAATTGGCTGGCCTTTGTTGAAAGGAATACTAACCAGTGCATGACAAACGAGAAATCACATTGTAAATATGTTGTTTCTTCAAATGATCTTGGCAGCAAATTGCACATTACTCAAAGCCAGCCATGTAATTCTAGTTACTACTTAGGAGACTGAGATCTGAGGATTGAAGTTCAAAGCCAGACTAGGCAGGAAAGGCTGTGCGACTTATCTCCAGCTAAACACCAAAAAAGCTGGAAATGAAGCTGTGGCTCTAATAGTAGAGCAACAGCCCTGAGTGAAAAAGCTAAGTGATGG